AAACACACAGTTTTTTTTTTCTCCTCACTGCTTGACATTCGGTTTCAATGAGAAACAATACAAGTATAACTCGTTAGGTGCTCACTCTCTGTCCCATGAACGGGGCACTGGGGGGGGGGGGGGGGGGGGGGGTTGTATGCATATGCCTGACGGTGGATTTTTTTTCTGCTTTCGTCCAGATATCAATGAGTGCCAGTCATCACCCTGCGCCTACGGCTCCACCTGCGTGGATGAGATAAACAGCTTTCGCTGCCTGTGCCCGGCCAGCAGGGCGGGGCCCACGTGCCAGGAGGGTAAGGTGGCAGTCGTCGTGTGGCGCATGAGGGGACCAGCCGGGCACCTGGGGCCCCAGCAGGAAAATCCCACTAATTCGGAAAAGGGTGGCGGGCTGTAAATTTCCCGAGAGGAGACTGGGTTTGCCAGCGGCATCACAGATACCCCCCTCTTTGTTGCAGTCACTGGCCAGCACTGCGTCATTGGTAGCCGAGCGATACCCGACGGTACCAGGTGGGATGAGGACTGCAACATCTGCCAGTGTCACAACGGCAAGGTCACCTGCACTAAGGTGTGTACCCCGCCCCCCCAGTCCGCTCCTAAGCACATCCGACACTCCGATGTCTGAGGCTCCCCCCTGTGGCCAACAGATGTGGTGCGGCCCCAAGTCGTGTCAGGTGAATGGGAAAGGCCCGGGGGAGTGCAGCCCTGGTCAGACCTGCCTGCCCATTAAGGAGGACCACTGCTTTGTGAAGCCGTGTCCCGGGCAGGGGGAGTGCTGGCCCACAGACGGGCTGCCCCTCCAGGCCCAATGCCACGCCGGAACCTCCCTCCTGGAGACCAGCTGCAACTACATCACCTTCACTTTCAACAAGGAGAACATGCCGCAGGTGAGCGTTGTTTGCGCCGTCAAAAGACTCTGATCCGCTTCGCTTTGCCCCCACCCCGAAGAATTCCTGAGCAATTATCCAAAGCACTTAGCCCAAAACAATGCAATACATCAAACCTTACGTGAAGTTAACCTGAGTTCAAACTGTAAACTTTATACCAACCAATGAAAATGTTCCCTCCCTCTATTGTGAGAGTGGACAGTGACTGATTTGCTTGCTTGTGGCTCTTCTCTGTAGGGGTGTATACAGGGGGGCGGGGCCACCAGCCCAAGCTGGAAGCTGATTGGCCCCCAGAACCCCCTTAACGTCACTCACCAACTCAAAACATAACACTGGCCAAAGATATGGACGGCCTCTCTGGAATGCCTCCCACCTTAAAAAATCCTGAACGCGCTCCTGCGTCTCTTGAAGCAGTAAAAAAAACTCGAAAAGCGTGGAGATCCTATGGATTCTGGAATCTTCCACTGACATGTTCTCTTCCGTCTCCCAGGGCGTAACTGTGGGGCACATCTGCGGGGGGCTGCGGCGCCTCTATGTGGCAAGGAACTTCTCGGCAGACCATGCGGTGTTCATCACGTGCAAGCCGTCCCTGAGTGCCAGCAATGAGATCCACGTAGCCATAGTGTGTACCCCCCCCCCGCGCGCGTGCCGATCCCAATACTGCAGCCGGATCGGCCCTCTTTAATGCACCGCCTTCCGTCTCAGTCCACAGATGAGCGCAGATCAGACACGTTTTCCGTGAAGGCGATCACCGACAATATCATCGACCTGGTCAGCAAGCGCAGCGGAAACAGTACCATTGTGGCGGCCATAGCTGGGGTGCGAGTACAGCAACGGCCCCCCCTGATCAAAACCGGTGAGGCTGCATATTCACAGGGGGATGTGTATGTGTGGGGGTGGTGGCTGCGCGAGAGGCATGAGCTGGCATGAAGGGGGTGGGATCTTTGGACCCCAGTCTCCACATAGAGCTGTCATCTCCAGAACTGTGAGTGTCAGGTACCATGGAAAATTCCAGCATGGGTGTCTGGGACGGAGGGGGTGGGGGGCAGTTGGGGGGTGGGGGTCCTACTCCCAACTCCTTGTGAAAACCACACAATTAAATGAGTTGTACTTGTACTGGGGTCAAATTTATGGTTGTCTGTGTCTCTGTAATACTGAGGATTGTTTTTTTTTTTTGCCGGTGCCAAGAGCTGATTGGCTTAGGAGCATCCCCCTACCCCCCCCCC